AAAATTTCTCACCAAGGTATTCTGTGAGGTAGGGATGTCTAATGGAAGTGGGACAAGTGGGGCTCTAGGGATGCTTTTTGGAGCCAATTTTGGACCCTACTCCAGTCCAAAAAGGAGAAGTAAACTAAAGGAGCCAGGAACCCCCCTCCCTTAGACATATTTCTTCCTCCTCAGTCTCTCAGAGTTGGTGTTGGATTTTTCCAACCAATCTGTTAGTCAGGCATTGGAACAGGTTGCCCAGGGAAGTGGTGGAAGTCACCATTCCTGCGGGTGTTTAAGGAAAGGTTGGACATGGTGCTTAGGGACACGGTTTAGTGAGTGAAATTAATAGTAGCGGGATGGATGGACCAGATGAACTTGGAGGTCTTTTGCAACATAAATGATTCTATGATTCTGTTTTTAACCTGTGAAGAAATTCCCTTTGTCAAAGGAAGCTTGGGATTCAAGCACAACCTTTGACTAGTGACTGAAAGTTACATCTGTCTGTATTTTATATAAATATAATCTCAATTTTGCCATTTCAGTGTAGGAACAAACTTCCTTCCATGTTGAAGATGTCATCTTGGTTGCATCCTCTTGCATGCCTTCTCTGGCAGAGTCAGTGGTAGGATTCACTCCTTGGTTAGATCAGCAGCTGAATCATTTAATTTGGATGTGGGTCAGATTCACGTATGCAGAACTACAGATCTGTTAAAGTTGAGAAATTTGCAGTGTACCATTTAATTTCCTGTGATTTCACTATTGTAATTCATTACTGTTGTTTTTGAAAGATGCAGTCTTTACTGAAGAAAGTAGCTAATTGAATTCAATTATTCATCGAAGCTAATGCAAACTTTGTTTACACTAATAGAGGTGTCCTTGGAAAGATTTTCATTTTGGAAGGAAGTTTTTGCTAAAATAATGGAGAAACAGGGTTTTTATGCCCAGGTTCTTCCTACGGCTAGGTTTCAGCTTTTATATGTGTGTTTTAAACACCTCCATAATATTAATTAGAAAAATACGCCTTTCCTTCCCATGTTATCTGTCTTCATTCACAGAGATGCTCTTTGTAAATGGCTGTTCACATAAATAATCTTCTTCTTTAAACAAGAACAGTGGGATAACTCTTGTTGATAAAGAACGGTCATTAATAAAGTCACAGCTTATAAGTTGAACTGAGTTCTCAGTTGTGCCCTCTGTGGCCCAAAGCAGAAAATATAGAACAAGTTTATAGTTCACTCCCAATTCAGGACAAGATCAGTAGTTCATATGCTAAGCTGGACTCTAGTAGAAGAAAACTGGTGGTAGGAGGGAATTTTATATGAAGGATATGTAAGATCTTCCTGTATATGAGCTGTGTATTGATTGTTATACAGTGAAGCATGAAATAATTACTGTTTCATTGTCATTTGATGTCCAAAATGCATTTATTTGTTAAATATTCATCTTGCTTGAGAATTGCAGGGAAGATTTCTTGATAGCTTTCCTGGTGAGGTACATATGCACTACAGAGTACGTTGTTATGAAGCCGTCTGTCATCTCATCAGATTTCTTTTATTTTGCTCTGCCCTAGGAGGCTTCATACAGTAATTCATATTTGGATTTGGATTTCATATATCCTTTTCCAGCAGTGTTGAATGTCTTTTTTAGCAACGTGGTATTACCCAGTGGCTTTCTGCTTTTAGATACAGCACGTTAGGAGCGTTACATTTTAGTATTTATTTTGTAGTCTTATTTGTTGAGCTTCTTACTAAGATAACGATGGATTCAAATAAACATTTCTCAAGTGTATGACTTAGAATCACAGAATATCCTGAGTTGGAAGGGACGCATAAGGATCATTGAGTTCAACTGGCACCACACAAGTCTACCCAGAAATTCAGACCATGTGACTAAGAGCACAGTCCAAACATTTCTTAAACTCCAGCAGGCCTGGTGCCGTGACTACGTCCCTGGAGAGCCTGCTCCAGTGCGCGACAACCCTCTCGGCGAAGAACCTTTTCCTGATATCCAGCCTGAACTTCCCCTGCCTCAGCTTTACACCATTCCTGCGGGTCCTGTCACTGGTCACTAAAGAGAACAGATCGGTGCCTGCCCCTCTGCTCCCCCTCGTGAGGAAGCTGTAGACCACGATGAGGTCTCCCCTCAGTCCCCTCTTCCAGGCTGAGCAGGCCCAGCGACCTAAGCCACTTCTCGTCCCTCACCATCTTTGTAGCCCTTCTCTGGACACTCTCCAATAATTTCACGTCCTTTTTGTACTGTGGAGCCCGGAACTGCACACAGTACTTGAGGTGAGGTCACACCAGAGCAGAGTTGGACAATCACTTTCCTTGTCTGACTCACGATACCATGCTTGATGCACCTCAGGACACGGTTGGCTCTCCTGGCTGCCAGGGCACACTGCTGGCTCATATTCAGCTTGCTAGCAAGGGATAAAGAGCAAGTAAGGACAGATAAAGAGCAGGTAACTCAGCTGTCTATGCTATCATCTGGATGGCTACCATGGGGGCTGTTTATATTAGGTTAAAAAAAAAAAAAGAAAAGATAAAGTTTTGCTGACTGCATGGGAGTGCCTTTGTAGGAGACCTATGAAGCCTGCCCTCCTGCATGCCCAGGTCCCACTTTCCTTCACAGCAGAGCAAGCTGCTTCCAGTTTCCAGCTTAATTCAGATTGTTCTGTGGCTCTGCAACATCCCTCCTTACTGGTCAAAATGTAACGATGGCAAGTCTGTCAGTAAACCCTCAAAAGTGTGGGTAAAAGCGATGCTGCTAGTGGAAAATTATCACAATGGGAGTTCTTAGTGTAAAAATACTGCGTAGCTTTGAAGGCGGAGTGCCTCTCTCAAATGATTACTTGTGGAGTTTGAGATGTTTAGGAATGATCTCATCTGATTTTTTGCAGAAGCTGCAGTAATCTCTGACGTGAGATCTAGGGCAGCCTGTAAAGCTGAGTTAGTGTTACTTTTTTCCTGTTTTTCAGGAAAGTGAGTGATGGGGATTTTTTCAGTCTCATCTCTAATATAATCTGTATTGCATAAAAGACAATATAGATAAACTAGAAACCTGCATATCAGGTTCATGAAGGTCTGCACATCCTACAGTCAGTTACTTTGGATGCAACACACTAAATCCAAGACTTTATCTTCTGACTTTTACTGGAAGAGCATGCAATTGTAATTCTGGTGTATACTGCTATTTCATTTTTACAACTGTCTCCTTTGTTATCACTTAATGATGTGGTTTAAAGCACTAGAGCCTTTTTATGTTAGCCATCAGTTATCTGCACCCTGTCAGGAGCTGGATACTGCCTCTCTGTCTGAAGCAGAGCAAGTCTTGCTGCGCAGAGATGCTGGCAGAGCTCAGCGGGAGCCAGGCCCGCAGCCCCCTCTGGAAAGCAGCACACGCCTCGCTGTGTCCTTCAGCTCTGCGCTCCCGTGTTTTGTCTGCGAGCACTGAAGCTTCTTCTGACAGAAGCATGGGGGATTTGCACCAGAGAATCGTTAAGATTGGAAAAGGCCTTCAAGATCATCTGGTCCATCCATCCCCCTACTATCAATGTCACCCACTAAACCACGTCACTAAGCACCACGTCCAACCTTTTCTTAAACACCCCCAGGGATGGGGAAGGTGTTGCTTGCTCTTTTTTTATTATTATCATTATTATTAATTTATTTTTTATTTTAACTATCTGAATCTATTTTAATTGGTAATTTAGATGAATTTTCGCCGAGTTGCATATGCTTTTCTTGTGACGGTAGCTGGTAAAGTGACGTCCCTTTGTTTGCCCTAATCCAGGAGCCTGTTCATCCTCTCTTACTTCTGTCCTTTTTGGGGCGATGAGAGGGCTGGCAGCAGGCTGAGGTCAACCCACCTCTACTTATAGGAGGGTGAAAACGCGCATATATTGCCCAGCGCAGTTTTCAGGTTGTTTTGTTCTTTTATCCCCTTAGCAAAACATAAAAAGCCCTTTCTCCCTGCACAGATGCTGTAGTGTTTACCACTACGGTACACTTTTTAGTTGAGGGGACACAGCTCTGGTGTTACACTGTCAGCCAACAGATGTCAGAATGACCCTTTTTCCTTTGCATCTTCTCTTAAAACTTCAAACTTCTTTATACCCCATAGGTTTAATTGTGAAATTTGGAGGGAGCTTAGAGGTCAGTGGGTCTGCAAAGGAATTCAGGGACCAAAAATTCTCTTGCACTAAGAGAACAACAGCAGGAGGCATGGCTATGAGGAGTGTTTGTGTTGAATCCAGAGCTGTTTGTTCATTTGGTTTTCAGGGTTATTACTCGGAAAGATCTCTGAACATTAAAATTCAGAAATGACGACTCCTAAAATGTCAGTTGGATTTCTGTCCTTAATCTCAATTGATCTTGATTTCACGCAGTTTATCTATCCGAGGATAGTTATGAATTGATTAATTTTCAGAATATATTTTTGTGAGTATTCAGTTGCTGCCAACAAAGTATTGGAGAAACATCTTTCTCACCTGTATTTAAAACCATAAAGCTCTGTGTGTGTGTAATGTTCATTTGGTGCTGCTCACGTTCTTACAAAGTCACTGCTGAGGAAGTTCTGTTTTACCTTTGCAGGTCATTTTCCTTCTTTAGTCTAAAAAAAAAATAAAAGTACTTTTTAGTTATTGTTATCTATATTTGTATGTTATGTTATCTATATTTATATTATTTATATTATCTATTTTTTCATTAATATTTTTCATCTTTTTTAAAATACACATGGAGTGCTGACCTGACGTAGATAATCTGTGAAATAAAAATTGAAATTTCTGTTTCACTGTATGTGACCAATCAGTTAATGTAGTTTCTGAGTGTGTTGTGTCTAAATATTTGCTCACTCGTGAATTTCCCGGCTGAGTAAAGAGGAGGAGAGAATGTTGGCCTTGTTTTATAGACAGGAGCAATGGGAAAATAAAATAAAATGCCCTTGATAACAAACCCTCTATTGTTTCTTTTATGTTTTGGGTTTTAATATGCATTTGCCTTTCCCTGTTCTTGCAGTTAACTCCAGTTGGAACAACCATCTTTACAGGGTTTTCTGGAAACAATGGTGCTACTGACATTGATGATGGTCCAAATGGCCAGATAGAGTATGTCATCCAGTACAATCCTAATGATAAGGTATGTGCCCTGTACTTTTTTTCTCTTCATTCAAATTCAAATACACATCTATCTATCTGTCTATCTATATAAAATTTTATTTTTGTGGTGTTTATATATATTGACTTCAAAACAAGTGAATAAGAGGTTGCTACTGGACATTATAAAGAAACTCTAAACTTGAAAACTTCCTGCCATAGATTATCCTTTCTACCAATGACTGTTGCTTGCCCCATAAACACAGCTGTATTTCCTTTTCTTCTGTTGCCACACTACAATCAGCATAGTTCTTAATCATCAGTCAATAATCCCTTCTTCTCTGGTGTTGTTCATACACTTCATGTTTTTTTTGGCGTGCTTTTTCAGTGTGTGATAGGTAGTTATATTTATTCCTGCACATTTACACCTAATAGATTCATTGCTAAGAAATACTCATAGGCGTAGCTAAGCTACTCTTGACAGAGACATTCCAACTATAATAAATAATAAATAAATAACAAACATTATTAGTTATTACATTTATTACATTTATACCTTAAAAAGAAAAGCAACAAAACCAAACACTTTTAAAAAAGATACTACTATTGTTTTATTTTAATAATATATAACCCTGGCTATTATCTGTTCAAACACATCATGTAGAGACAAAAAGCATAAAGAATTAAAATAAATGCTTTTTAGGTTCAGATTTGTGAGTTTCTCCATTATTAGGTGTTTTTACACAGCAGTGATTCATGTGAAGTGTCCATATGCATTTTCTTGGCAAATTCAAATTATTTTAGCAATCCTTTTTTGTAAATCAAGGTATTTTTTTCCATGGGCTAAGAGCACCATTACTGTGGATCAGGTGGTCTGATAATTTAAGTATGCTAACCTGAAAATAAATTAATCCCAACAATAATATAGATGTTAAAGAAGGAAAACAGTATGTAGCATATAGATTTAGTAACCTCATTCAAATTCTGTACTGTTACTTAAGGGTAATTTAAATAGAAATGATTTTCTAGGAATACAGCAATCTGATATTCAATCTGAATTAGAAGTGTAGGCATACAGGTTATGATTTAATTTGCTTATGATTTAAGCTATATAACTCATAAATGCTTCTGTCCTATCCACTTAAGTCAACAAGAGTTTAAAGAGATACTGAATTACTTAGTGCTTTTATTTTTTTATATTTTTCCCCTTTTCTTTTTTTTTTCTTAGCTTATAATACTTAACAAGGACAGGTTCAAATAATTTCCTCTTTTTTCAATAAAGATCTTTATATCCTCAAAACAAAACAAACTCCAAACCCCTAAATTATTACACACTTCTTTTGAAATATATTGTACCACAGTGAAATAAGAAGAGCTGTTTAGCTGTTTAGCTCTTCTTATTTACTTAATTTTCTTTTTTCTTAATTTACTGTTATGTCACAGCATTATACTGCTGAAAGGCACCCGGTGAAATCATTCTAAAGCATCTCCCACAATTACAGTGACCTCAAGCCCAGCAGAGAGTTCAGTTAACCACTAACAAAGGGGATATAGCATGCCCAAATGGTTTGATCCTGTTTCACCAGAGGAGGAGTTAAAACAGATTTTCTTTTTTCTTGTTTACCTAACAAAACTTAATTGACCTTGTTCTCCCAGTCACTGTGAGGAATTGTGAGAGACTTCCCTGTTTGGAACAACTTGTTCAGAGTAGTTAGTTACTTCGTCACTTCTTTGTTTTACTGCTGTTGTAGTCCAGATTAAATAAATTGCTTCCTTCCTAAGTAGGTAACCATCATGCATGTAATACTGCTTTTATCTAACAACAGGTTTTAAGTTTGTGCTTGACAGAGGTGGTTTAGAAGATGTTTCACTGCAGCTGTTACCTTTCCAGAAATGTAACAAACTTTCTTTCTTAACCTGGGATACAGTTACTACCCTTGAAAATAATGTGTACAGCTCATTGAGAAATCCCTCTACTTACAGGATCCTCCCATGTCCCATGTTGAAGATGCCCCACAGTGTTGTTTGGCACCAATGACTTATTCTGCTGCCTTAGAAAAACCTAAGAGTGCTGATGAGTTTTATCAGAGACCAATTCAACATTAAAAGACAAAACACAGCAACCGTAAAAACTACGGATGTTACTTGGGGGTTCAGTTTAGCTTAAATATTTTGTTGTTTAATTTGGAAGATAGATAAAAGTCAAGTAGAAAAAAGAAAGCAAAGCATGCTAGGTGTTGTTCTGGTCTCTTTAGCTGTTGTGGAGAGAATGCCATAAAGTTTTCCTTGGCTGTGAAAAGCTAAGGGTGAGGTAATTAACTTGCCAAAAAAATTGTCTTCTAATGCAGAGCTAATTGTAGATCTCTGAGGACTTTGTTAATACCTGAAGGTTATTAAGACAAATGCATCCTTACAAGAAGTTCTGGACTCTGTCCTTATTAGCTAATTTTACAGAGATTCATTATATTGTGTTTGGTGAGGATGCAAAATGAAACTTGTTGAGTTTTTCTGAAGATTGGGATATGCATAACGCTTTTGCCATGGTGATTTTTCACATAACATATCCCTGTTTGGGGATCAAATTGAATTGGTATCCTGGTGACTTTCCCTTTCTCAGAGAGTTTACCTAGCAGTATTTTGCCACATATACATTGAAACTTGAATGTTATCTGGGAAGTGTTTCACAACACACTCATGATTTATGTTGCAAATGGTAGTTTATGAAAAAAAAAAAAAAAAAAAAAAAAGTGGTGATGGGGATATGTAGCCTATTGTGGCTTTTCCAAAGCACACAGCCTTGTTACAAAGGGTAAATTGCCTCCTCTCCTGTGCACCTGCACAAGTGAGTAGTAGATTTGCAGGAGATATTTTTATTCTTCTGTTTGAGCTGCTTGCATTCTAGACGAGAACCTGGGATCACAGCCCAGCACCACCACTTCCTTTTAGTCCAATTTAAGATAGGTGGGAAAGATTGTGGCTTGGGCTGGGTATAGGGACTGTCCTACAGCAGTGCTGGCCGATGGCTGTGGGCAGCTTCAACAGAGATGCAGAATGTACATGTTTTGGATAATCAGGCTAAGGCAGCGATGCATGGAAAAACTTACTTTTGTCTTATGTGTACTGCATGTTATGGAGAAAACAGAAGCAGACTTCTTTCAATTAGAAGATAGAAAATGCTCTTTTTTCCCCCCATGACAGAGATCAAACAGTGAAGCAGGAGCCCAGAGAGGTGGTACAATCTCTGTCCTAAGAGATACACAGCCCCAACTGGCCAAGGCACAGAGCAGCCTGTGCTAGCTTCTGTGTTCTCTGCCAACCTCATGCCCTCTGATTCTTCAGAACTCTAAAACCTGCCTTGACATAGTAGAGATTTTGCTATTTTTGTCAGATGTGTTACCGTCTGTGCACAGGCCATCTTTTTAGAAAGCCCTGCAAGTTGCTTTGAACTCTTTGAATTTAAAAAGTGTAATTCTTCAAATGGTTTTGTGCTGTCTGTTGGGTAATGATGATAATGTGGAACCATTGTCTTTCTACTACTTAGGGCATGGAGCTGAATGACCTGGAAGTATTTTTTTTATTTTTATTTTTTTAAATTTTCCCCAAAGGCTAATTTTATGTCTGAACCCTGGAAGTGATCCTTGCCATCCTGCTGCCTCTGAGTTTCAGAAACGATGCTGCTTCACCATTTTGAGCTAGGTGAATATTTTGTGTTATGAGGACTTCCGTACAAAAGCGTTTTGGTATTTATTTTTTGAAGCTTTTCAAGGAGAACCAGTTCTGTTCTCTTGGAGTAGGCAGGTGACAAAGCAGCATCATTCTGCCGGAAAGCATAAAGGAGCTCTTGATATTCCTGACTTCCTGCATATGCTGGCTCATTTCAGTTTTGGATGGAAATGCAGCTGAGCTGTGCTGTGTACATCTTCTAATTGCCTTGGAGCTTTGGTAACGGTTTGGATTGCAGCAGGAATAAATGGAGTCTGCAGAACCATCGCAGGGATGTGCATGGGGTGACTCTGATGGGCCACCTTCAGGAGCTTTCACACAAGCCCACACCTGGACACTGCACTACACATCACTCAGAGCCATTGCATCCACTGCTGTACTGGAGGGACAGGGGACTCCAGATGCAGGCAGCTGGGGAGGAGGCTACAGGTGTGGGTTTTTTTTTGCTGGAGTTCCACTGATGCTTATTAACAGTTCAGATTGTAATCTCCCACTTCAAATGCATCCTCATGGCAAGATACTCCAAGGAAAGGCAGTGTTTTGAGAGTGCCCTGGCTGCTCCTGAGCTGCGGAGTCTTTTCCAGCTGGTTCTTGCCTTTTTAACCAGAGATAAATGGGCTAAAGCAGCAAGGGGGATCTTCCTCATGAGTTAGAAGTGGTGCGTGTGTGTGCAAACAGCATCAATTTATACAGTAGTCAAAAATATTACTGTTACTTGGATAGTTCACTAGATTATTTTTTTTTTCTGAGCAAATGCCATTAATAGAAAGAGACAATAGCAGTGAACCTGCACAAGCAGTGAAAGGGGAGGGGGCCCTTTTATGTTAGCTAAGGGAAGAAAAGTACTTTGTATCTCTGCAGCGTTGATTGTTCAGAGGTTTTGGACTGCTCTAGAGCTGTTCCCCATACGCCATACCTCAATGTTAATTCCATTATACATTGTTAGATTGAAGCATGGAAAGATTTTAATGTGATCAATTTGATGACAGAACTGGAACCAGATCTCACCTGTCAAACCTGCGTCTTTACCTGTAATCTTCCCTCAAAATGGGTCATTTAACACAGTGAATCCTTTACAAGTGTGTGTACCCTAGCAGTACCTTCCTGTCATGTGGTGCCAAGAATCTGTTTAAGCAAATGTGTGGGACAAATTGAATTTCACCTGATCTACCCAGAAATCTGTATTTATTAGTGCATGAACGTGTGCATCACTGCCACTGTGAATTGGCACCTAACTGTGTAGAGCTGACATTTAAAGCTTTGTCACCCTCATGAAAGCCAGAATAAAGAGTAGGATAAAAAGTACAGTGGTAAGGAATTCTTAATCTCTGATACCTGATGCTCTCTTAATGGTGAGGAAAAATAGAAGAAGGTAAGTCAAACTACAGAAACCGCAGACCTAAATTTCCTGTGTCCACATCAGGAGAGGTTTTCTGAACGTCAGAGTGTAAATTCAGCGTCAGAGCGTAAATTCAGATAGTTTGACTATCCTGTTCATGGTCAGGAGGAATAAGTTATGTGCAGAGTCAGAGAAAATCCTGTTACACACAGAATATTTATTATGAAGTTCTCATGGGTGGGGAGAAAACACAGTAGACTATTTAAAAGCTCTAATCCGAGAAGCATAAGTAATTTTGGTATACCATCCATTAGATTATCTCGTTGTGGTCTATCTGAAATGTGCTTTAACTTTGAAGCGTGTTCAATTTTGTGTTGCTGTTTTAACTTTTGCAGACTTCCAACAGGACCTTTGATATTCCTCTCACGTTGTCTGGAGCAGTAGTTCTACGAGAGAGACTAAATTATGAAGAAAAGACTCGTTATTTTGTCATTGTTCAAGCAAATGTAAGTGTTTATCTCTTAATGGCCACTTACCAATCTTATTTAGGTGGGTTTTTAGGAGAGGAAAGTATCTCTGAAATAACAGGTCTGATGCGCTCTTTCCCGAAGACCTTATTTAAGATGTACCTGCGTACTTTCTGTCATTGAAAGCTTAGGCATTATTAGTGGTTAAAAAAGCTTGCTCAGAGTGGGTAACAGGACAGCCTTTTTGGCGCTGGGAACAAGTATCATATTTGAAGAACAGTCCATGCAGAAAAGTGCATTCTGGTGTCACTAAGTGTTCATTTTCTAACACATCTGGCCATGCTAATTTGATGTCAAATGAGTTTAATGGATACAATTTAGTTGTATCCTTCAGGTTTGAAATGCAGTTTTCTATAAAGAGGTGATTTTTCTTTCAAGTCATATTGCATGGTTATATAGAGGGTTTTTTTGCACGGTGGCCAGCAGTGAAGAATGCATACCAAGAAAAGTGATGTTTAAACTATATCTAATATGTCTGTCATTAGAGAAATTTTTGGTGTCCTTGAGGGCTGTAAAAGCTTTTCTTTTTTTTTTTTTTTTTCTTTTTTTCTATTCTGATAATGGCTGAAATGAGAAATTTTCCACTGTTTAACACTGTTGTGATACTGAATCATTTGTGGGGAAAATGAGGGTGCTCTGAAGCAACCTTAATCACAGAATCACAGAATTTCTAGGTTGGAAGAGACCTCATGATCATCGAGTCCAACCTCTGACCTAACACTGACAGTCCTCCACTAAACCATATCTAAACGTCTTTTAAAGACCTCCGGGGATGGTGACTCCACCACTTCCCTGGGCAGCCTGTTCCAGTGTCTAACAACCCTTTCGGTAAAGAAGTTCTTCCTAAGATTCAACCTAAAACTCCCCTGGCGCAACTTAAGCCCATTCCCCCTCATCCTGTCACCAGGCACGGGGGAGAACAGGCCAACCCCCACCTCGCTACAGCCTCCTTTAAGGTACCTGTAGAGAGCAATAAGGTCGTCCCTGAGCCTCCTCTTCTCCAGGCTGAACAAGCCCAGCTTCTTCAGCCGCTCCTCGTAGGACTTGCTCTCCAGGCCCCTCACCAGCTTCGTTGCCCTTCTCTGGACTCACTCGAGCACCTCGATGTCCTTCTTGTAGCGAGGGGCCCAAAACTGAACACAGTACTCGAGGTGCGGCCTCACCAGAGCCGAGTACAGGGATAGCTTTAAGATAGCTTTATAGTAATACAAATTCACTCGTTTATATTACTGTCATTTTTCTGATACAGAATGGTAGATACATTTTTGGGGGCATATATTTTGTGGCACATTCAGCATTTTCTCTCTGAGGGTGTCTCAATGCTTTTTGCTCTTATCTATACCTCAAGATACTTCCGGGCCCATGCCTGTTAAAACAAGTCATTTTGCCTGAGTAACATAACTTGCTGATCTCTTGAACAGAAATACGGGAGGGCACAAAACTGTTTATGCTTGTTTTCCTTTTTGTTCCAATCACTGATTAATTCCACAGATCACCACTCTGTATTCACAGCTCTCTTCATTTGATGTTAGAGTTGTACGTTTCATGAGTTCGCCCTTTCGAAGGAAAGCAGCTCGGGTAGTTGAGGAGGTGATATTTTTCAAGAGAAAGGAGGCTCACGTGGAGCCTGGCGTGCCACAGTGCAAACACCTCACGTCAGCAGGGAGACCTGGTGCTCGTGCAGGGTGACTTGCTGGTGATGGTGCAGCTTGTGATGCACAGAGGCAGTGCCACAAAGCAATTTCTCCTTACTTTGCTCGCTCTTTCCGATAACGCGTCCTTATAGGATAAATGGCCACCTTTGTGCTGCATGGGTTGGGATGAGAGCTACGCTGATAGCTTCGACATTTTTGTAATGAGGCAGCTCGCATGATTGAAGCGTCTTCCTAGGACAGTTGTTCTCTCAGAAATACTTACAAGGGAACTGAGTTCACTGAAGTTATTTAGTGATCACAGAAGAGTAACTAATCTCAAAGAAAGGTTCTAATTAACCTTTATAGCCTTCTTTAGGAGTTTGCTGTATGCATCCTTTCATTCATCATTACCAGGGCTCACTTCTTGGGCCAGTTCTGTTTGACATATTTCCCAACGATCTGGATGCAGAAGCAGAACACATCCCCAGCAAGTTTGGCAGTGATGCTAAGCTGGGAGGTGCTGCTGATCCCTGGAGGCCTCGTAGAGCGGTCTGGGTGCGTCAGGGCACCAGGCGAGCAGCAGTGGCACAGAGCTCAGCCAAGGGAATGCCGGGTGGCATGTGGAGAGGCCAGGAATGGGCCAGTGTGGCCTCTGTGCTCCCCAGCACACAGAGAATGGGCAGGTCCTGGAAAGCATCCAGAGGAGGGCCAGAAGCTGGTAAGGGGCTGGGAGGCAGGTCCTGGGAGGAGAGGCTGAGGCCACCTGGGCTGTCATCTGGGGAAGAGGAAGCTGAGAGGAAGACCTTGCTTCCCTGGAGAAGGAAGCACAGGGGCAGGTGCCAGGCTCTACTCCTGGTCACTTTGGAGCTGCACCAGAGAGGGTGAGACCAGATGGAGGGGAAGTTTGTGTACCATGAGAGTGCTCCAGTACAGGCTTCCTGGGGAGGTGGTCAGTGCCTCACACCTGCCAGTGTTCAAGAGGCCTTTGGACGGTGCCCTCCTCAATATTTGCGTTCACTTCTAGTTCTGAAGTGGTCAGGCAGTGGGGCTTGATGCTCTTCGTAGATCCTTCCCTGCTCATGTTTTGTTCTGTTTTTCAAAATATTGCATGCTGCACTTAATTCTCTCAATTGCATGCAATCATACTTGTATTCCACTGATTACATTAGCAGTGAGTGTTTATTGCTCTTGCATCCTGAAGACATTACGTGAAATTAATTATCCTGTATCTGTGCTTTGATCCAGTGTTACTCAAAGGCACACAGAAGGGGGGTGTAAAAACAAACAGATGAGTTGATGGTGAAGATTGTTCCACTTCTCATTGTTGTTTGCGTTGTTTTTCATCATTGGCCATGAAGAAAGTTAAATTCAGATATTCCCACATTTAATGACTAATAGCGTAAAGAACTTCCAATAACTGAGTGGCATTGCAAACAAGGAAAAAAGAATACATTTCCTATTACTTAGAGGAATGACCTATTTCCTATATGCAGAGGATGATATTAAACAGCATAAATACATGTTTTAAAAACAATTGCTTTTGTATTTCCTGTTAATGACAGCCTAGAATAGGAGGGTAAGCCATAACTGATGACCCGTATTCCTTCCAAGAGGTTTTATTTTTGTAAAGAAAAGCCACCACAACAATTACTCTTTTAAAATGGAAACACTTTATATTCTTTTGAAATAAATACTGGATAGTCGTGCTGTTTCTTCGCTATAGTTGTAAACGAAGAAAGAAAAGGTAAATTATTGCTAGTGTGTACACTGGTCAGCATATAGAAATAATCTGGATTGTTCCCACATTTCAAGAAAGTATAACTTTATTCCTTAACATCTGGAGAGAAAGAAATGTAGACAAAGAACTTTCAGTAGTCAGTATTGTCTCCCAAATCCATAAAAAAAGACAACAAACAAAACAAACACAAAACCACAACAAACATGATGCATTGTAAAGAATGTCATGCAGCATGGAGATCTTTTTAGCTGCACCATCTTTGTTGTGGACAGAACTATTCTTCAGCCTTTTAAAACATGAACAGTGTAACTCATTCTCCAGACAAGTTGGCTTTTGACATGGGAAACAGATTTCCTTGGTTTGGAGATCTTGGATCCATCTCTTTGCTGTCATCTAGAGGTTTTCTTGGGGGGCAGGGGTAGGGAGGTGCTAAGATCAGTATTAAACAGTGATACACAAAGGTGAATTGGGCATTAAAGTGGAGGGGCCAATTCGAAAAAGAAGGTTACTGCTTAAGGTTTTTTATTTATTATTTATTCCTTTTAATTGCTCTTCTTTTGTACCCTACTGCATAATATTTGGACACTAAGCATCCTGTTGGCCTGTACAAAGACTGGTATACAAGGCAGCATAAGAGGAGTTTTCTGTAATTATTTTATAGAATCTGCATAACTGGAATGGTTGCACATCTTGTCCTTGCCTTTAACTTGTAACCTTTCTGTAGACTGTGATTTCAGAATGTCTTGTGAAACATTACCCATTTACTCCCCAGGACCGAGCCCAGAATCTTAATGAGCGACGGACAAGTACAACCACCCTCACAGTGGATGTGCTCGATGGGGACGATTTGGGACCGATGTTTCTTCCTTGTGTCTTGGTGAATAATACTCGTGACTGTAGACCTCTCACCTACCAAGCGAGTGTGCCAGAACTGACTGATCCTGTAAGTCCTCTCAGCTTTTTTGTTTTGAGTTTCACATGTTCGTTTCGTAAGCAGCTGTCATCTTTATCTATGGACACAATTGAGAACTGTATCTGGGAGTCTCAGGTATGCTTTAATGACAGGTTCTGTGTGCTAAAGAGGATAAAGCTGGAGTAAAATATACGTAGGAATAGATCGTGAAAATCTAGCTTTGATACAGTGGCAAACCGCTCGCTTGCTACAGGGGCTGAATCTGACTGAAGCTTGGTAGAGTTGTAAAGCCACTTTCCCTGATCTGTCCATACTCCGCTCTTGAAATATTATAAAGAAGCACTTCTGGGCAGGGACTCGACATGCTGCTCTATTCAGGATTGTTACAGACCTCAGGAGAAAGATTCTGGGGGGAGAAGGCAATAGTCACTTGTTCCTGAGAAGATTATTTGTCATTATATCTGGTTGCAAACTAGACACACTAAAAAATGTGTGTATATCCCACATATCTGCTTGTGCTAAGAATGGCAGTTAATACATTGGTTAGGATAAAGGTCATTAATTTCCCACTGGAACGTTCCCAGCGAGCCACAAAAAGAAGAGGTAAGAGCTGCGTCAAATTCTGATGCAAGATGGTGCTGATTCCGCCTCGCTACAGGAGAGCTGATGCTTCGTGTGATGGAGGTGTGCATCTTTGTGATGGGAGAAATTCTTTTTCAGTGGTTTCCGGTACATGTAACCTGTATAGGTTAATGGTACAGGGTGTGGTTGAATTGCCAGTGCAGACTGAAGGAGGTGAGACAAAGCTTACTGTAATCGCAATGTGTGATTAGCATATGTCCTTGATTAGGGAAGGCTAGACCAAGTTTCAGGGAGGTGATATAGTTTCAGGTCAGTCTGACCCCCTTGGCAAACTGGATTATGCCTTACAGTGCACGTGCACCTGTACAGGTAGGTTGTTTCTCTGTCTTGTTCCTCTGTGCTGGAGAAACTCTTCCTCACAGCTGCATCCTTATTTGTAAGGCGTAGCAAGACGGGAGTCTTGGTGCTCAGCTTGTACAGCAGAAAATGAGCTGGAAAAAGGAAGGGGATAGACATTCTGTATTTAACCTTATTATACTGATTTACATTTCTCTGTTTCAATCTACACCTTGGTATTTGATAAACCTTTCTAATTTCATTGACTGTTTTTGACTTTGTGAATGAATGTGTTTGCTTTCAACTCCACATCACTGTGGCTTGGGCGTAGTGTCATCTTAAGGTAGCTGGGCAACCACACGTTATTCCCCAGCTCAATATGTGGCCTCATCAGGGTTAGTAGGGTACCCAACCTATGCAGAGAACGGCAGAGTGTGACCCTATTTCATCTGCACAGATTTGATAGAGTTCCCAGTACAGAGGCAGGTGAGGCAGTAATTGTGAGTAACTGGTGTTTTGGTTATTGCTTGTTTATTAAATCTAGTTATCTTAAGGTAAAATACAGATCAGATAATTTTCCTGCTGCAGCTCTCACAGACAGAAGGAACCCAGCTCTGTCTCCATTCTCCTCTTGCTGTGGTTGGCCACATGCTGGATGCTAGAAGACAAAGTGGTGCCTGCCAAGGAGGCAAGGAAAAATCTGACTAGTGATTAGTTTCCAAGTTGCAAAATACATTCATTTAATTTCACAAGGTACAATCTGTTCAGGTGTCAGCTTTTTTGTTTGCTTTCTGGCTGTTTTGTGTCAAACTGCACCTTGAGAAATCTGATCTATGAAATGAGAAACTGGTTCTGTTGATAAAAATACCTGCTATTTGCTGTTTATCTCTTTGTAGTGCTGCAGCTGTTTGGATAAACGTAAGTGGAAGAAGGATGTTTGTACTCAAAGTTTTACCTTGGTATTTCAAATATTTACTTGACTTGTAAATTATAATGCATTTAGACAATGAAGATGATAAATAAAATACTCAGCTAATAAAACAGGTATTGCATTTGTCCTGCAAGAGTGTGATAAGGCGCAGAGAGGCCCGAGCTGTCTGCAGGAGCTAGCATCTGGCAGTGGACTGACGAGGTGCTCTGCTATGGCGAAGCAGCCTGGGCAAGGGAGCTCATTCAGAAATAGGTTGGAGATTTCAGCATGATGTGAAATTGTTGCCTTGCACGTGGTAGACATGACCTGTATGAGTCCATAACAATCCAAGACTTCACCTACAATGTCAGCTTGTACAAAAGCCGGCAGTGGCCCATATACTTCTCAGAAAGATTTATATGGAGTTATTTGCACTAGTTCCTTTTTTTAAAAAGATCAGAATTTACTACACTGTCCGTTTTGAGTCTTTGGTAAGTATAGCAAATAGAAGAGAATTCTGCTCGCTGTGTTTTTTTAATGGTAGCCACTATGTAGGCTAAAGGGTTGTTTTTGTCCAGCATAATCATTTATTTTTTAATTGTTTTTATATTTTTTTACAATGAACATGACAAGGAATATTAATGAATCTTGAACAAAGAGGGTCAAAGTATGAATTAGTCTGAAGCAGTAGCTTGAAAATAAGTTGTGCTTTGCAAGATGTCTACTCAACTGACCCCTAAAATGAAGCATTTATAAGTAAATCATTTAATGTAACTGGTAAGTACTTTTTTCAGTTTTAGAAGGTCAGTTGTCTTTAGTTGGCCTCTACCCATGACTTTACTGAGGTAAACATAGCATTTTCTTTCCAAACTTCTTTCCTTTAGAAGCTCCAAAGCAGTTTGATGCATGGCAACAAAGAATCCATACAGCACCAGCTTTGTTTATGGTCTTTGGCTGGCAGGAATGGAAGAGAACAGCAAAATTAATGGGTCTCTTCATTACCAGAGAAACAGTTTTTCATTGGAAACAGTATCACGGTTTACATTGTGCCTTCTGAGAGTTGGTCTGACTCATGGCAGTATTAATAATATTATTAGGCCTGCTCCAAGCTGTGTGGAGCGCTATGTAATTAGTGTTTATGCACTTGTAAAAACCTGTTTCGCATTTCTGCTATTTGCACAAGCCTGTGCGAGTTGTCCCAAAGCTCTTATGTGCTAAGCCAGAGGTTTTCTGATGTCCTCCCTGGGTGTGTGTGTAGATTAACATGTTACGGTAATACCCAAGTCAGCTGGGTGCTGCTTGTTAACCAGCTGAGCTTGGCCACAGGATGGGACCTTTGTCATTGCTGGGTGCCTTTTGAGATTCACTGTCTGCAGTGCCATCACCTGTAATGTTTTTTTGCTTTTGTTTAATTATTTATTTTTTTTTGCTTTTTTGTTTAATTGCTGTAATTAATTGCCACGATAGCCTCTTTAGGGCTATGGCTGCGGCTAAGGTAACAGAAACACCAGTGGCTGTTGTGGAGTGGTTGTGAGGTGCTCTTGCAGCTTTGCGGAGGAGGCAGAAATGAATTTCGGATTTAGTGAGAGCATGTTAGGCCATGTTAGCCTTTCTTCATGCTTCATCCGGCAGCAGGTGAGCGGTGAGAGCTGAACTGCTTTGCTGCTGCTGAAGCCCAAAGCCAGCGCTAACTGAGCAGCCTGCAAGTTTGCTCCTGTGAAGTCCCATTTGTCGCATGTGGGTCAGAAGTTCCCAGAGAGGGAAAAGAGTTTTGACTCTTAAAAAATCATTGCGGGTTGCTTATCTTGCAGAAAAGACATCAAAGCTTGTGATAAGACAGCATTCAAAGTCATTGTCTAAAGTTGTCTCATAACTCATATGCAAATCCTTTGCCTTAACTTCCTTCAGGAGAATGCTAACTACTACTTCAGTGACATAGTGACTTTAAAATGAGCTAGCACAAACCTTTCAAAAAGTAAAGTTCGACAAGCCAAGTATATTGCCTTATAACAAAAAGTAAAGCGGCATCTCTCTATGGTGGATAAATGGATATGGGTATGAACCTCCTGCTTAATTGGTCCAAATACTACTCAGTTTTTCCTAATTGTCACCGTCCTGCTTTTTCTCCAGGAGTTAATTTATTGTTGTTAGTTAAATATCAGTTTCTGAGAAAACTGTTTTGTTTGGTTACGTTGTTCTGTATTTGCCTCTGCTTTTTGTGTTTGTGTGTTGCCAAATCTAGTAATTCTTCCTGTCATTGTCTCAGGAAGACTTCAGCAAATAAGCACGAGTAAGCAACAGTATAGTGAAGTCATTAAATTGAGTTTAAAAAAAAAAAATGCAACCTCGAGAGTGTCTCATGAATCTGGAAGGATACTTTCTTCTGCCTCTTCCCCCTTCAGTCTGTTCCCGATGTGCTTACGTTGTGCAGGTTTTGTCCGTTTCTGTGCTCAGAGTTTTTCCATCCTCATGCAAAGAAGGAAAGCCAATTAGCGGTAAAGTATAGATTAGGTTGATTTAATCAGCTTCTAGGGCTGGTTTTGCAACAAACTGATTCATTACCAGGTTCCGTAGGATAATTATCAGTCCACATGAAAACTCATGTACTCAATGACACTTCTGAGGCTTTCTTTGTACTGATTCAAGATTCAGCACATTACCAGCTAGCTGCATTACGGAGCATTGCTTATTAATGCACTACTGATGTATCTTTCTACACAGAAAATATTTATTTCTATAGTAATTATGCTCAGAGTCCTTAGGAGCTGAAAGTGGACCTCACAAAGTCTGTGAGCTCAGCTACCCTGTGGAGGACTGAGGCTTGAGGAGTGGTCCTCTGAGCAGAGGACCTCTAGCTGAAAGCCTTGAAAAAAAAAATCCTCCAAATAACAATGCACTTGAGGGGGAAAAAATAGATGTTGAAGAGCAGGATGTGCCCTTAGAAGCCCTCAAGGTTTTATTAGCAGGAGGAACCTCTTCAGTTTGATTTGTTTGTATTCAGGAAAGAAAATGAACGTTTAGGAAGTGGGATTGTAATCCTGCTGAGTAAAGCCTTGCTTGATCAGCATCATGTCCTGGAACGCATAGTTTTGAAACTGTGGAAACTGACTTTTGATGGTAAGGTGAAACAGTTTTGCTCTACTGTCACAGAAATGGAGAGTTTGGGATTTTTTTTTTCCCCATTGCAAAATTAGGTGGTTTT